TTCAGTATCCACTACTCTTTCCATATGGTGATGATGGGTATAGAGTAGACATCCTTCATCGAGGTCTAACAAGTTCAAGCAGCAGCAAGCGCCCTAACTGTACAATGAGAGAATTTTTTGCTTACAAAATTCAAAATAGGATTAATAGCTTCTCATTAATTCTTAATTCAAAAAGGCTTTTCCAACAGTTTTTGGTTGATGCTTATACAATGATCGAAAGCGAGAGACTTTTTTTCGTACTGGAAAAAACAAAAAAATCTTAGATGTGCATCCTACGAACATCTTCGAAATGTACAAGATCAGGGGAAGAAAACTTTTTCCAACACTGGACAACGTGTTATCTTACCTTCTTCTTTTACTGGTGGTGCACGTTACATGCAGCAGAACTATTTGGATGTTATATCCCTTTGTAAATGGTTTGGATATCCAGATTTTTTTATAACTATAACATGCAATCCAAAATGGCCTGAAATCAAAAGGTTTCTTAAAGACACAAATCTCAAACCTGAAGACAGGCCATATATTCTGTGTAGGATATTTAAAATAAAGCTTGATGCAATGATTAAAGACTTGCGAGAGAAAAAATTATTCGGAAAAGTTCAAGGAGGTATGTCTGATTTTAAAATTTCAATTTTACCATCTTCATATTTATGGTATAAATACTATCATACCTAACAAAATTATTACATTTCATTTATTATTTATCTTTTTTTTATCTATTTACATTACTGACGTTTTTTATTATTTTTTTTACTTTCCTTAAAAAAATTTATAGTTGTTTATACAATCGAGTTTCAAAAGCGCGGCCTGCCTCATAGTCATATATGTCTCTTTTTGCACTCCGATGACAAACTCCGTACTGTTGAACAAATTGATAAGTATATTTCGGCCGAGCTTCCAAACATTAATGAAGATACTGATTTGTATTCACTTGTGAGCGAGTTCATGATGAATGGTCCTTGTGGTGCTGAAAATGTGAAATGCCCATGCATGGTTGATAATAAGTGTTCAAAAAACTTTCCGAAAAAATTCTCCAATGAAACTTCAGCCGATGAAGACGGTTTTCCGATATATAGGAGACGAAATGACGGATCTTTTGTTGAAAAGTCTGGTGTCAAATTAGATAACAGACATGTTGTTGCTTATAACAAAGACCTTTTGAAAAGATATCAAGGACACATTAATGTCGAGTGGTGCAATCAAGCTGGTTCTGTAAAGTATTTATTCAAATATATCAATAAAGGTCCTGACAGGGCTACACTTGCTGTCATAAAATCGAAAAATGAAAGTGTTACTGATAATTCAGTAGATGAAATCAAAGAGTATTATGATTGTAGATATATATCTGCATGTGAAGCATCATGGAGAATTTTTGGTTATGATATTCATTATAGGTATCCTTCTGTGGTTAGGCTTCGTTTTCATCTTCCTGATCAACAACAAGTTATTTATGATCCAGATGATGATATCGACAATATCCTTGACAAACCGTCAGTTGCATCTTCAATGTTCACATCTTGGCTTGAGTGTAACAAGATCTATAAACAAGCCCGAGATCTTACTTATGTTGAATTCCCTACAAAGTTTGTGTGGAAAGCTAATTCACGGAAATGGGAACCAAGGGAAATAGGATTTTCAATTGGGAGAATTCATGCTGTTTCACCTAAACTTGGTGAAGCATATTTCTTAAGAATTCTTTTAAACAAGGTCAGAGGTCCAACATCTTTTGAAGATATCCGAACAGTAAATCGAGAAATATGTCCTACTTTTAGAGATGCATGTTACACTTTAGGGCTTCTAGACGATGATAAAGAGTATATTGAAGCTATTAAAGAAGCAAGCCATTCGGCTACTGGTTATTACCTACGGTCATTATTTTCAATGATGTTGATCTTTGATAGTTTGGGAAGACCAATATTTGTTTGGGAAAATACATGGGAATACCTTTCAGACGGAATTCTTTACAATCAACGACGCCGGTTAAAGTCTCCTGGTATAATACTTAGCTTTAATGAATTTAACCTTTTTTATATAAACGATATATTTGTATTTTTTTTTCTAAGTTTATATTTACCATTCTACAGATTTATCCCTTACTGATCATCAATTGAAGAACTTGACTTTGTTTGAGATTGGATCATTTCTACTTCGTAACAATTCCACCCTCAAGAACTTCAAAGGCATGCCTTACCCAGATTTTGATTGTGTATCTTCTTCTAATAATCGTTTGATTGCTAAGGAGTTATCTTATGACATCACAAGTCTTCAAAACGAATTTCAAACACTGATTGTTTCATTAACAAATGAACAACGAGGTGTTTTTGAGGATGTCATGGCAGCAATTGAAGATAATAAAGGAGGTGTGTTTTTTGTTTATGGTTATGGTGGAACAGGCAAAACCTTTCTTTGGAAGACTTTATCAACAGCTATCAGATCTAAAGGTCAAATTGTTTTGACTGTTGCTTCAAGTGGTATTGCTTCTTTGTTACTAACCGGAGGTAGAACAACACACTCTCGCTTTGGTATTCCATTAAATCTTACTGAAAATTCAATTTGTTCTATAAATCGAGACAGTGATGCCTCCAAATTACTAAAACAAACATCGCTGATTATTTGGGATGAAGCGCCGATGGTTCATAAGCATGCATTTGAAGCATTGGATCGCACTTTAAGAGATGTTTTAAGTTTTGGTAACGTTAGGAACTCACATATCCCGTTTGGAGGTAAAGTAATCGTATTTGGAGGTGATTTTAGACAGATTCTACCAGTTGTTTCTAATGGTAGCAGACAAGAAATTGTCAACGCGTCGTTAAGTTCTTCATATATATGGACAAATTGCAAAGTTTTAAAATTAACGAAGAACATGAGGTTGACTGTTGGAAAAGATCCGTCTGAAATACAACAAACAAGGTTATTTGCAAATTGGCTCTTGGGTATAGGAGAGGGAAATGCTGGTGGTTCTAATGATGGTGATGCAGTTATTCGTATTCCTGAAGATCTTCTTATTACTCAATATTCTGATCCTATAGGTTCATTAATTGAGTTTGTATATCCATCACTTCTTGACAACTTGAACGATCCTAAATATTTTGAAGAAAGATCAATACTTGCACCGAAAAATGAAGTTGTTCAAGAAATAAATGATCGTCTGCTTTCATTGTTTCCTGGAGAAGAAAAAGAATACCTCAGTTCAGATAGCATCTGCCAAACAGAGTTTATTCACAATCAGTTTGATGAGAGTTTATATTCACCTGATGTTCTAAATGGACTTAAAATCTTCGGTTTGCCAAACCATAAGTTGATTTTAAAGGTCGGTGTTCCGGTTATGTTACTAAGAAATATCGATCAGAAAAATGGGTTATGTAATGGTACTAGACTTCAGGTCGTATCATTGGGTAATCGCGTCATAGAAATAGTGGTCTTAACTGGAAGTAACATTGGGCATCGAGTTTTTATTTCAAGGTTGTCTTTAACACCTTCAGACAACAAAATTCCATATAAGTTCAAAAGGAGACAATTTCCCCTAGTGGTTTGTTTTGCTATGACCATAAATAAAAGTCAGGGTCAATCGTTAAAAAGGGTTGGGTTGTTTTTGTGAGAACCGGTTTTCTCACACGGTCAGTTATACGTTGCTTTATCAAGAGTAAAGAGTAGAGAATGACTGAAGTTATTGATTTTAGATAAGGATGGTAATTTGACTAATAAAACTTCCAATGTTGTGTTCAAGGAAGTATTTCAAAATTTATGTTGAAGTTTTATGTTTATTTTTTAAAATCAAATAAAGTTGTACTTATTTACCATCCACAATCAAATGCTTTTTTATATTTATTAACTATTTTGTACTATATAAAATTTCTAACTTACCTCCCGTAGTTTCCACGGGTTTTAACCTAGTATATATATATATAATATTTTAATTTTATTATTTAAAATAAAAATGAGATGGAAGAAGGGTGAGTTTTGATTTTATTGGGTTGATAGGAGACATTTTAATAATTTTAATTCTCTTTATAAATATTAGTTAGATATTTAGAAAAAAAAAAAAAAATTGAAGGCCGACTTGTGTTCCGTGTGGGACGATGTGATTGGAACTTGGACGGTCTTTTCGAGGCTTTTATTTTTCTTAAATGTTTTGGTTAACGTCAACCGACTCTATTCGTCAATGCAGAGGTCTGAATGTCTCAAAAGAAAATCATTTACATATTCAACAAATATCTTTCCTGCTGTTCTGTTCTTGCTTATCTGCGCCTCAACACTCCAATCATCTTTTCAATATTTAATAATATCTTATATGTCTCTTATTCAAGAACTCAACCACCTTAAAATTCCACTTGAAGCCATCAAATTAGCCACAGAAAACTTTTCCGACAGTAATGTCATCGGTCAGGGTGCATTTGGGAGGGTGTACAAGGGTCAACTCCCAGTCGTCCCCGCCTCTTCCACCTGGCCATCCACCACCGTCGCTGTAAAAAGGTTAGATGTGAAGTGCGGGCAGGGACAAAAAGAGTTCTTGACGGAGATCGTGATGCTCTCAAGTTACAAACATGAGAATCTCGTCTCTCTTGTTGGATTCTGTGATGAAGGTGATGAAAAGATCATTGTGTATGGGCATGAGATTCATGGAAGCCTCGATAATCATTTGACCACTGATCTTACATGGGCGCAAAGGGTTCATATATGTCTTGGTGCTGCTCGTGGACTAAATTACCTGCATAATGATGTAGGAGAGGGGCACAGGGTGCTACATCGCGACATAAAGAGCTCAAATGTTTTGTTGGATGAGAATTGGAATGCAAAGATTTCTGATTTTGGGTTGTCTAAAATAGGCCCCACAAACCAGGCGTTTACTTTTCTTGTCACCAATGCTGCTGGAACATTAGGGTATGTTGATCCATTATATGTATCAACCGGGGTACTTACAAAAGAATCTGATGTGTATTCTTTTGGTGTGATACTATTTGAAGTGTTATGTGGAAGGCCAGCAATGATTAGAAAATATGATGACGAACGTAAGTTCTTATCTCACTTGGCCAAACATCGTTATAAAGACAGAAAGATAGATGAAATCATTTTTCCTGAAATACGGAAACAAGCAAAACCAAATTCATTGCAAACATTCACAAAAATTGCTTATCAGTGCCTCAATATAGATCGGAAACAACGTCCAACTATGGCAGTGGTTATCAAACAACTACAAATCTCGTTGGAATTTCAAATCGTAAGTTATTGTTCCCTGGAAATTAGGTTGAAGATCTTTTCTAAGAAAACAATGTGAAATTACAATGTTATAATTTTGTAGAATTTTGAAGTACAATGATGTAATGAATGGCCATTGAGGCATTGTTCAGTATAATCGTAAGTTATTGTTCTTGGAAAATTAGGTTAAAGATTTGTCGTAAGAAATTTTAAAAGTACAATGTTGTAATTTTTTAGATTTCATTGTACAATGCCTCAATTATAAAAAGATTAGAAGTACAGTTTGTAAGAGAAAGAAATAAAATTATGATGCTATGATACACATATGAAAGTAGGTTGCCATTTTTTTGCATTTTGGATTCTTCGCTCTAACTTGCTACTCTTTTAGCTTGTTTAGGCATGATTATGTTTAAACTTATACTATCATCTCCCCCTATCTTATGATTAATAGCCATGAGAAGTTCTTTTGGCATTAAGTTGCAATCATTTCATTTATAGTTTTATGCAGAAAATATTTATTTATTTATTTTTCTTGCAGGGTCAGCAACGATTTTCACAAGCTGAAAGAGACCATAGAGAAAAGAATAACTTGATGCATCGTACTTCCAAAGTATTTTTTTCTGTAATGAAAAATCTCTTTTTGTTCTCTAATAGGGTGAATAGTGATAGATCTAATGATGGGGGTAATTCATACTTAGAAGGTAACAAACACAATTATGAAAGCATTAAATGCAAGATATTTAAAATAGCAATGTACTTTCATATATTTGTGTATTACAACATCCTAAATTCATTCTTTCCAATACAACATTGTGATTTCAAAGTTTTCATATTAAGGTATTGTACTTAGGAAAATTTACCAAATTTATGGCATTGTACCTTTATGTTCTTTTTTTTTTCTTATTCTAGCAGTGAGAATTGCTTTGAAGTTGGATGACATTGCTATAGTTGGATGTATTTTTTAAACCACATTGCTATAATAGGAAGAATTGAAAATATGATGCTATAATAAACATATCAATGAAAGTGCATTGCTATTTCTTGCATTAAAACCTTGATGAAATTACTATATGTATGTTTTTCAATAGAAGATAGCCCGGGAATAAAAGAGTTCCAAATAATTGGGGATGCTAAACCTGGAGGTAAACTTCTAGTGTGTGGATTTCCATTGCATGGGACCTCACAATGCATGTTTCAGGTATATAAGTTTCAAGAATTTGCATATAAAATATAACATTAACCACGATGAGATTGATATTTGTATATATTTATAATGTATTTGCATGTATTTCAGTGGGTTCATTACCATCGAGATGTTACTTTGGAGTACATTGAGGGTAAGTATATAAAAATAATTTTATTTGACTAAATGCAAAAAATAGTAAAGGAAAAATAGGAGAGATGGATCCATATATGTATTATTCATATTTATGACACTAAGTGTGTGTTTTCCTAAAGGCTAAATGCATGAAATAGCAACGTATTTGCATTTATTTTGCCATTTCTGTGTATTTTAGAATCGTACATTAATATTATTCTATTACATTATTGTACTTCGAAGAATCTATGCAAGTGTAGCATTGTACTTTCAATTATTTTCTTATTAAGATATTATACTTTAAAAAATATACTCAATTATAGCAATGAATTTTTTTTGCTATTGCATTTAACCCTTTTTTAAAAGTGTACGAAATTTCTAATGCACACCCATTGACGCATGATTGGTAATTCATTGCTCAATTCTCATGTATTATAGTATCTTACTTTTCCATTACAACATTGTACATAGAAAAGTCTACCCAATTGTAGCTTTGAAAATCGCGTTGTATATGTATGACATTGTTATAATTCATTACAAATTTTAAAGTACAATGTTTCAAATTTTAATAGAAACAAATGAAAGTAGGATGCTATCATACGAAACAATGAAATTACATTTCTGTTTCTTGCATTTAATCCTTTTTCTTAAAGGGTAAAAAGGTAATTCATTCCAAATTCTCAGGAGCCACAAGTCCAGAGTATGTGGTTACAGCTGATGATGTTGATAAACTTATTGCTGTTGAATGCATACCAATGGATGATCATGGTCGTCAGGTAAAAAAAATATTCAAATCTATAATTTTTAAATTCAAAATCTGTACCAACTTTTAAAATTTTAGCTAGATATATAATATGATATAAAATAGTTAAAGAAGAATAAATTATTTTCAATGGCACAAAACTAAATGAAAAAGTAACCTTCTATTAAGTTGATATAATCATCAAGTTTTCTTTTTAATTAGATATTTTAATCAACATACAGCGTTATATATGTGATATGGTAATTTAAGTTGTTAATTCTTTATATTTTAATACAATCGTACTTTTTTATTTTGGAGTTTTGGGTTGACCTTGAGCCCCAATACATTTTTGCTGATTCGGTTTTAATTTTTATAAATAATAATACAATACATATTATTAAAAAACTATATTTTCAATATGATAATCTAAAATTTTGAGAAACTTTGTTGTTGTCAGGGGGAAATAGTCCGACTTTTTGCCAATGAGCAAAACAAGATAATCTGTGGTAAGTTCACCTTGTTAACAAGGTTAAATTGGTAATTTTCATGAATAATTTATTAAAATGTGATTTTTTAATCTTTTGAAATATGATAATTCACAGATCCAGAAATGCAAGAAGAAATAGACAAATATATGGCAGCTGGTCTAGCATCATTTAGTATTTTGCTTCTGGTAAATTAATTTTCTTTTTTCTTATTGACATTAACCCCTCACTTTTTACAAATTTGCCCTCATTTTAGTTTTGGACTTAATTCAAGAAATAACGTGCTTTTATTTATTTGTGTTATCATAATATCTAAATTCCTGCTTTCATTTATTTCCATTACAATATTGTACTTTCACATTTTTTTTTATCAAGGAGTTTTATTGTACGTCAAAAATTCGACACAATCATAGCATTCTATTTCCATTTTTTTTCTCATTAGGGGATTATACTTTCTAAAATCTACCCAATTTTAGCATTGAAAAATGTTTTGTATATTTATTGCATTGCTATAATTGGTAATTTTTTCAAACTACAATGTTTTGTTAGGAAGAAATGAAAGTATTTTTTGCATTTAACCCTTAATATTTTTCCTAACCTTGTTTTCTTAAGTACTTTTTGTAAATCATTTATCCATATACTTTTTGAACCAGAATTCTGAGTTTCTGACTTGCGAAATTGGAATGATATGACCAGTTTACCCTTAGAAATTTTTGTTAAGGCTCATAAAACTTGAGGCTGTTTTTTTGCAGATGGATTCTTCCGAGAATCGGGAGCAAACAACTTTCACTTTAAGGCGATCAAACTACCAAGTAAAGATCAATCGGACACAAGAAATTTTCATCCAAGGGGAATATACCAATGATGTATCGGTATGTGAAATAAAACATTCATTTTTTTTTATGAGAAATTAAATATCCTCCTACAATTTCTGTCTACATATCCTCCTACCCATCTTAAATGATGACATGTGTCATATTTAATTAAAATAATAATATTTTAATACATTTGTCTGACACATGTCACAATTTAAGATGTGTAGGAGGATATTTAAATTTTCTTTTTTTTATATAGACATGAATATGAGTTTGATTGCATATAAATTTAGGGATGTATTTTAATATCGACTTCCTAAATATATTTGGTTTCTATTGCAACTTGCAAGCAAATCATCCTTTCTTGAAGGGAAATTGAATAAGCGATTTTGATGGCATTTAAAATTTTAACTTGTTGAAAAAAATACATTTATAAATTTAATAATTGAATTTTTGGATACCTACTTAATTATTAGTCGAATGACTAAAATACCCTTCAACAATGAAAAAACTAGGGAATCTTGATTTTTTGTCACTTTTTGGAAAGTTTCTAAAAATAGAGATTGTTGCACTTCTCATGGGAAAGATGGAGTATTAAATTTAAAAACTTGTGATTGAAGCAAATTAAAAATTGCACATTTTTGTCCCACCCAAAAAGATGGAAAAAAGGGGACCGAGACTCAATCTTAATTTCTTGTTTATGCAAAGGACGTAAATGCCCCTGTCATCCATTATCATCGAAAAAATCCTTAAAAAGCTTCTTTATAATTTTGATAATGGTCATCTCTTTCTTATAATGATTTTGTAGATAAAGATCCCTTCAGGTCTTCCTACGCAATTTGTGTTGACATATTCGGATGGTTCTTCACATCCTTTTAATACTTTCCAGGATGCTCGGTAAAATATTTACCTCTTGTTCTTATTTACTTAGTGAGTTAGTTTTTTTACATATTACAAAGAGATAGTACTCTTTGACTTTTCAGGTCAAACAAACTTCTTTTCAGATTCAAAATTGATGTCATTTTTTATAGTTTCAAGGCAGAATTGATGTCTACACTAATCCTTATGACAACTACTACAAATAAAAAATATGTTGATGCAAGTTTGTGACAGATGCATGTCAAAATTTGAATTTGGAAGTATTGTTACATACATTTTGACCTCAAAAGTCAAACTGTACTACCTTTCGCTACAACTTTAATACTTGGTCTTTCTAAATTCAATGATTTGTTGGGTGATTTGGTTATTGGACCAATCTTTTTGTTGTCAACAAGATATCATTCTATTGTATTTTTTGGGGCTAACTGCAAGAAATAATAACATACTTACATTTATTTTTATATTATCACATCCTACTTTCATTTCTTTTTATTATAGTGTTATACTTTCAGCTTATATCTTATTAAGTATTGTACTTTTAAAAATCTACCCGAATATAACATTGTACTTTTTTTTCCTTATTACGGTATTGTACTTTGAGAAATCTATTTAATTATAGCAGTGAAAAGTGCTTTGTATTTAGATGACATAGCTATATTGAGTATATTTTTTCAAAGTACAAAACTATAATAGGAAGAAATGAAAGTAAAATGTTATAATACATTAATCAATAAAAGTACATTGCTATTTCTTGTATTTAACTCTTTCATTTTTCAGAATGCGAGATACATTGGTGCTCACAATGAGAATGTTCCAAAGAAAGGTATCTTTCAAGTCCTTATCATTCTCAAAATTTTGCCCAATTTTGACAATTTCTATATGGTTCTAATTGAGTTTCCAAAAAGGGAAATTTATTTAACACATTTCTCTTCTTCTTTTTTTTTCTGAAATAGGCATTGGATGAAAGAAGGAATGCAACATGAAACTTTTATTCTTCGATATAGACACAAGTATTATATATTCTTTGTAGAAATGAAGTAAAGAACAAGAAGACAATTCTAGAAGGTTTTGCGGTTTAGATTGTAATCAATGAGTGAGAGTGAAAACAAGGGTGTGTTGATCTAAAAGTTAATAATATACTTACTTTTGGCGTTATTATTGACAAACCGACCAAATATTGAAGATGTTTTACATTATTTGATATTTCTTGTTGAAGTTATGAAAAAAAAATTGTTTCAAAGTATAATGTAATTTTAAATGAGGCTATAGTGAGGGGTGTTAGAATTTCTTACCTTCATCAAACGCACCCTAAAAATCAATTTCTTTCAAAATTTCTTACTCCTCCCTTTGAAAGCAACAAATACCCCCTTGCCCCCATCCTATCTCTTGGTCGAACTTAAAGAAACCACTACGAGTGTAATTTGGTTTACATACTTTTACCTAGTTGTTACTTTGTATTAGAAAAATTCAAATAATTATAATAATTATAAAACTTACAGCTTAATCTTTTCTCTCAAATCAAAGGTGCAAATGATATCCCACTTACACCAACATTATCAATTTATAATAGTAATGTACTTAAAAGTTTCTGCCATAACTTATGTACGTTTTATCATTCTGTCAACTCCAAAAATCCGTAACTTACACAATAGACGCATAATACCCCATTGACATTATAACGTACTTGATGATAAAATGGTATTTATTAAAAATAAGGTTGAAACGTCTAAACTTTATGTTGCAACTTTTTTTATAGTGATAATGATTATTAATTCGTAGATTTTTGGTTTAGATGTTAAAGCCTTTAAGATTTATGGTTTAGATATTTTAGTGTTCTTGAACATGGTAAGTGGATGAAAAAGAACAAAAAGACAAAAGGCAAAATAGTCTTTTTCATCAATTAAATGAATGATTCGTTAAGTCTAACAGTCTAAGAATCGAAAACATGACAAAGAACTTTTGTTTGGCTGATGAATGTTAAAACTAAAAAAAACCTTCATAGGATCTTTAAAAGGACTTAACCATGGGGACTAAAATCTAATTTACTTTTTATTTAAAGCAAACACGATACAAAAAAAGGGAAAATTGCGTAACCTAACCATTATAAATGAGGTTTTCAAAGAAAAATAACCATATTTTTTCAGTTTTAAAAATAATCACTTTCTTTAAAATGCTTAATTCCGAAATACTGTTCATATTCCGGAGTTTTTTTTTTTTTAATTTTCAAATAAATTTTTTATTTTATTTTGTTATTTCACATACTACATTTCAAAATGTTTAATGTCATCGTTTCTTAATAAAATATCTAATTTTATGCACTAATATCGTATATAGTTCACATTAATATGTTTTTTTTAACTTTTTGTTAAATTTAAGTAAAAAAACGAATTTTTTTCTCGAAATTCCGGAATTATTCTTCGGATTCGGATTTGTTCTTCCAGAGGTTTTTTTTCTTTCCAAAATCCGAAATTTTAGTCCAGAATCTGGAATGTCATTACGGAATTAGTAAAAAAAATGTTTTTTCTTGGTCCGGAATACCCCATTCCGGACAAAGTGGTTACTTTTGCCAAAAAAAAAGTTATTTTTTTCAACTACACATTAAAAATGGTTAGATTAATTAATTCCTCCTACCCGACCTAAAAAAAGGATCTTTAAATTAGAGTAAATTACACGAATCTCCCTTGTTCAAATGCCAAAAGACATGTTTCAGTCCTTATTTTCAAAAATTAATTCGGACCGTTCCTCATTTGTTTAAAACTTGGAGGCTTTGTTCCTGATTTGTTTCGATTTTAATCCATGCTAGATCTGATACGACAATAATGACTTTGTGTAATTTTTTTTCAATTAATTTAATGTTATTTAATGTTATTATTATTATTATTAATTTTAAAAAACAAAAGAAATATGTCCTCGTTGTTCACGTAATGTTTCTTTGTCTGTTTATCTCTCTTTTTCTCTATGAAATCATCGGAAATAGGCATCACCACCGCCAGATATCTGAACCGGAAACATCTTCACTTCCTCCGGTATGTCGCCGTCACCTACCACCATTTCACGTCTTTGTCTAAACCTCTAAAGAAACCATCTAAATATCCATCACTATTGCCATCAAAAGCTTCACTGGATCTGTCACGTAGGTCGTCATCGTTCTTTGAATCTAAGTCATCGATAGAGATGTACTCAGAAAGGGAGAGGAGGAAAGTCCAGATCAATGGCATCGCAGAGGGGGATAGGTGGTTTCTGGAGAGTTCTACATAGAGATGGATACGGTTAAGAGGGGTTTTCGGTGACTATGACTCTTCCAGATGCATATTGGAAAAGATGAGGGGATATGTCGTCGATCTAGCGTTTCAATTTAGACTCTTCAGATGTCGAAGACGATTTAGGGTTTGGGGTCTACCCATCCCCTTCTGTTACCATCTCCTTCCCCTCTTCGATTGTCTTTTATGTCCAAGTATACCGATCTATTCTTCTTTCTGTCCAGGTGCACCAGATTTCTTGGGGAGAGAGAGAGAGAGAGAGAGAGAGAGAGGGTTTGATGGTGTTGCCGGAGATTTCTTGGAGTGGTCGGAGATTTCTTGGAGTCGGGGGAGTACCGGAGTCGGCAGAGATGCAGGTCGCCGGTGTGGGTGGTGATGTTGAATAAGATGCTTACTTAAGAAAAAGGGAGAACTTACGAACGTGCTTAACTACCTGTGCTTGGGGATCATTCCCATTTTTTATGAAGGCAGTAAATATTTTTATTATTAATAAACAAATCAATAAATAATTATAAATAACAAATGAATACAAAATAAATGAAAAACGAAATAGAAAAGAGTAATATGGTCATTCATATCTGGTAGGGACGGAACATAGGTCAATTCGGTCCACTGTCTCTACTCCCACCTATCCCGCTTAAGGTTACGTGGATGAAGCTTGATTTGGGTCCACCAGGAAGAGTATTGAGAAACTGGCTAAAAGGGATTAGAAATGGACTAGTAAGAGATTCCAATGTAACCTAAAACTAAAATTGGAACCCTAGGAGGGGCAACTTCCACTCTTTTTTTTTACTCTTTCCATTGTCGTTTTTGCTTGTTTATGCTTACTCCCACAGCAGCTGTCATTTCTATCCCGTACTAAGAGACTTCTCCCACAAAAGGGAACATGAAAGTTTTAAACAAACGAGGGAAGGTGTGAGTTAATTTTTGAAAATAAGGACTAAACGTATCTTTTGACACTTACACGAGGGACGATTTGTGTAATTTACTCTTAAAAGTACCTAACCTCATCTACTCTCTCATCATCGACACCCTCGTTGTCGTTCCTCCCTTCTCTCGCTGGAATCCGCCGCCACTCTCGTCACTGGACCACCGGCTGTGTGTGTTTGTGTTTAACCTTCTAGCCGAGTCAGGCCCTTTTCATACACAAATAAGAAGCTGCTAAGTGCTAACGATGTTCGATCATGAGAATAAATTAGTGAATTGAGAAAGAGAAAGGCACTAATGTTTGGGTCTTCTAGACATGAATTTACTCTGATTATCTCTATTTTTATCATGATTTCAACACCACATCTTTCTTTTAAGGTTTTCAGACATGATCCTGATTATTTCAAATGCCTCCTGGGTTTATTCTTATCTTTGAATTTGAGCGATTTCAATACTAGATGTAATATCCCAAATTTCAAGACCAAAAATTTCATTTTTGATATAACAATTTGGAAAACATTTATAAGAAAACATAATTGAGTCATATCATTTCATAAAACCATAATCTCATGTCTCAAAATCATATCGTAAAAATAGTAACAATGTCAGAGTACAATCCTAAGAAATCTCATAGTGCGGAAATCCTATGTGTGTGTGTGATGTGCCGCTACTGCGCCGGCTCATTCCCCTTCGCTAAAGAGGTACCTGAAACAAAACTGAAAACTGTAAGCACGAAACTTAGTGAGTTCCCCCATCATACCACATACCATACAATCTCATAACAAAACATATTGTCGGGCAATTCTGGGGTGCCCGACCTACCAGGTCCGGCCATTCTGGGGTGCCGACCTACCCTGTCAAGCAGTTCTGGAGTGCTGACCTATCCATGTCAAGCCATTCTGGGGTGCTGACTTACCCATGTCAAGCCATTCTGGGGTGCTGACCTACCTGTCGGTCCTAACAACTGAACCCTGGGGACTATCTCGCCCCCTGCTACTACTACCACATATATCCTAACATATCATACTGACAGGCATATCTGGGGTGTCCGACCTACCCTTCGGTCCTAACAACCGAACTTGGGGACTATTCCCTCCCTATTACCACTATCACATATAGCATATCATGCTAGCACATAAACATATCAGGTAGTAGCAAACCTAGATGAATATCACAAAGACAATCACCTAACATACAACTCCTACTAGTGGGCCGACATTGTGGCCGTAGACCTACCATTACTGGAAGGTAACTCACCTCGATGTCGTGTAGTATCTGCACGGTCCTCGACACGGGAATCGACTCGCCTCTTCTCCCCAATCCCTACACAACAACCTTTTCCAATTACTATTGCATACTCATAACCCTTACAAGGGTCAATCCAAATCCAAGTCAAAGTCAAGGTCAAACCCTGGTCACAGTCAACATCCAGTTGACTTGACTCGCCAAGTTGGTCCACCAACTCGTCGAGTCCCTATCCTTTCAAAATGATACAACCCCCGACTCTACTCGTCGAGTCTAGCAAGAACTCGACGAGTTCACCTTCAACTATAGCATCGGGACCATCTTCAACCGACTCGCCGAGTTCATCCTTGAACTCGTCGAGTTCATCTTCATCTTATGAATGTGTCCAGTCTATGACTCGCCGAGTTCTATGAACAACTCGTCGAGTCCGTCTTCATGAGTTGGGAGATTGCCTTGAACTCGCCGAGTCTATTCATACACTCGCCGAGTCCTATGATTTCCAGTCCCAAAACAAACCCCTAGCAGGCTGAGTGTTCCATCCACTCAACCAAAACCATTTCCAGAAGTTGTTTCGGGGGAAAAAGCGTCCCGACTCGCCGAGTCCCTCTTTGTCCAAAACTATACAGTCGATTATAATGGGTCTTAACACGTCAAAGCCATAGATCTGGCCTCCTAGGGCCCATTTTATACGTGAAGCTTCAAACTTGATGTACATGCATGGGGCCTTTGGCTCAAAAAGC